CTCTCAGAATGCCAACTTAAAACTCAATCCGAATAAGTGTTTTTTATGAATGTTGAATAAATCAATAGCCTTAGAACCATGAGCTTCAACCAGATCGAAGAACTGTGTCCTTACCAAATTTACATTTTTATCATAAAATATCACTGAAAAAGCACATTGTTTTTTGACAGAAATATCGGTGGTTTCATCCATTATCAGTGAAAAGAAAAATCCTGGTTCAGTTAATTTATTATGCAAATCTGTAAGAAAATTATCGCCTAAACTATTACATATAATGGCAGTGGCTTTGCTTCTTTTTAAACTGAGTTGTTGCGCAATTTTTGAATCCGGAAAGATATTTTTTAAAAGTGGGGACAAAGAATCCATTAACAAAAAAGGTAGGTTCTTCGTAGCAAAAAGCGCACATAATTTTATTTCGGCAATTTTCACGGCAACCTCTTCTCTCTTAGCTACATAGAGATCTGTGATTTTTGTGCTTGTTGATACTTTTTGCCAATTTAATTTGTGTTTTGCACTACAGGAATGTTTTATTAAGACAGTTTTGTGCGCTACTACATCAATATTGCATACTTTACAGAAGGCGAAATTCCCTTGACTGGCTGGTTTTGAAGATTTTTCTAACCAACCCTTGAACTTAGGAATGTTCAGCCAGGAACTTACAAACCCGCTTTTTCTTTTTCTTTTCCTTTCCTTCACTTTCTTGAAAACTAAAGAATATTTAACCAATTCTTCCATTTGTATTCAAATTCGTCAATTTTGGGGTTGGCCCGGGTCAAATCCCCAAAATTTCAGCTCAAAAGCGCCGCCGATCTAGAGATTTTCCCACGGTATCGAAAAACTTCCCAGGCTCAAGTGCCCCCGACTATCAGACCAATACCCACCTCTACTACGTAAGTGGTCCACCAGATTCACAAGCAAAATGTTATTATTGCAATAAAATTAATCTCATGGAGTTTAGAACACTATTGACGAATACAAATGCAGGAATTGTTGAAATATTCTTTAGTTTTCAAGAAAGTGAAGGGATATGAAAAGAGGTACCTCTTCAGAGTAGAAGCTTTTTGACGTAGTGGAGGGGGGTATTGCTCTGATAGCTGTGAGGTGGGTATTGGCAGAGCTGAGCAGTAGCCCTACCAAGTAGTTAAGCTACTAGCTTAGCTACTTTTTTGGTAGCTAATAACTTATTCAAGCTATTTTGAAAAAAAAGTAGCTTGTAGCTGTAGCTTTTGGTAATGTGTTTCAAGTATTCATAAGCTACTGTGAAAAGTAGCTAGCTACTAAAACAAGCTACTTAAGCTACTTTTGGTAGATAGTTAATAGTTATTTAGGTATTAATGGCGGAAAGTGTCATTTACCGCCCGAGGGTGTGGTCAACGATACTTAACGCCCAAAATACTTATTTTAACCGTACGTTTAGTTACGTTTACGTAGTTACGTTTTATGCGCAGCGGACTCTTCTAGTTCAAAAATGAAATAACTATACCTATAATAAAATGGCATCCATTCGACATTGTTTTCAAAAATAAACAGTTTTCCTCTTATAAAGGCACGTTTCCACCAACCTATCGCCCGCGTTTGAATTTACCGCTCGATAAAAGTAACTTTATGCTTTAATTGCTCAAGCTACAATTATCATTTTCCGGAAAATTCTTATCCTGCCTTGCTCAGACTAGTTTCTAGTTATCTCTGTAGGTAGGTACCTATGTTTTATGTGTCCTACTTTATGCCCGCATTCGCAGATCACTGTGATCAAAGTGAACCTAATAAATTAATGTCCAGTGGTTTTTGACAAAAATATGAATACTACTTCTTAGAGAAAGTTAATATGTTATTTTCGTATGATGATATTATGAAATTAAATTAGGTAAGGCATGTACATTGATAAAAGTAGCTTAAATAGTAGCTTTCACTAATTCAAAATGTAGTTAAGTTACTAATAGCTTAGCTACTTTTTCAAAGAGGTAGTTGAGCTACTAGGTAACTTAGCTACTTACAATAAAAAGTAGCTTGTAGCTTGTAGCTAGCTACTTTTTCCAAATAGCTTGCCCAGCTCTGGGTATTGGTAATAAACAGGTGCATTAATTTTATTGCAATAATAAATATTTTGCTTGTGAATCTGCTAGTCTGATAGCTGGGGGCACTTGAGCCTAGGAAGTTTTTCGATACCGTGGGAAAATCTCTAGATCGACGGCGCCTTTTGAAAATAGATTAATGGAGGGCTATGATGGCTATGCTGGAGGGGGGCTTTTACGTGGTAGAAGTGGGTATTGTTCTGATAGCTGTGAAAACACTCTACTCTTTACCCTTATAGCCGTCACACACACTGAACAAGCTGTTACAGGAGGAATTATCAAAATAATGCGCGCCACCCCCAAGAGTTGAGCTGCAAGTGGCTGCAAGTTCTTGATCTAATCGCGCTAGTGTTCTATGTTATTGGTAAAATGATTGTCATCGTCACGCCATGCCGCACACGCGTACGGTTACTATTGGTGAATTGGTGGTGATTCTTCGCGCGGAATACCGCGCGGGTGCATTTTCGCGCCTCTCATGTTAAATTATAAAATAGCTCAGCCGAAATAAAAGTAATTTTTTTTCTATATTCTAAGAGTAAGAATTTTATGAAATGCAGGACATTTGGTGTCCTGCGGTTAACTCCGGCAGGACGCAGGACACAAGACCCTGAATCCAGGACATCCTGCGAAATCCAGGACGCCTGGCAACCCTAGTAATAAGAGACATGTGAAAACTTGACAAGAATTAAAATTAGTTTCTAATAGAATGATAATTTACTTCTTAAGCAAAGGTAGAGTTTTATTAACACTAATATTATTCAATTTGTTAACGAGTCAGTGGTAAATCAATTCAGCTAGTCAGGACTTTGATCACTTATAGAAGTTTTCTTGAAACTTACTCAAAACTCTTCCAGCCGTTCTTAACTTGATGCACAAAACTGTGCCTAATACTTGATTACGAATATATAAAGGCCGAATTAGTTAGTAGTTTTTAAGTTTAAGATTGGCTATGATACGTTTTAGATAGTATTTATTGTAAGTGTTGTAAAGAGTCGAGTTGTTCCAGTTAATTGGTGAAGTTATTAGTGTCAGAGAGTATAGTAGCGCGGAATGAATTATAGTTGTGGTAATTGGACTTTCATTTTGGAATAAAAGTACCCAAGATTTCTGTCACGCAAGCCAGAGCCGTGACATTGGTGTGAGAAGTGAGATATAACTCGAGGACTGCACAGTAAAATCCGATTGCAGGATAGCGCAGATACTAGTGAGTAGGTATTGTGGTTTGGACACTAAGTGAATACTGACTGGGACAGTTGGTCAGTGTGAGCAGTGATAATCAGTAAAAAAAGACAACCGATTTTTGTAAATCACCCTGGAAGTGACTGTATATCCTGTTCATAATCCGATGTCCACAGGTGCAGGTAAATTTATCACCTTTCCCTATCAAATAGCATTGAAAGGTGATTTTACCTGTACCTACCTGTGGACATCGGATTGTGAACGGATAATATATCCGATTTTGACTATGATAGTGAATTTTCAAGTAAGTTCTAAAAAATTCTTTTTGGAAACTAGAGGAAATATCGAATTGTGGCCTATCAAGTATCAAGCGACATTTTGTGAAACCGAAATTCGATACAGTGGGCACAACAATAACAATGTGGGACACATTGATGCAGACTTTGAAGAAATCATGGAAACACCTCGGTCCAGATAGACTTCAAGAAGTCGCAGATTTCATCTTGAAAGAAAAAGACGTATTTGTGATGGATAATCAAACCAGACGGACCAGTTTAATTCAACACAAAATTGATACTGTTGGATTGGCACACCCAATTAGACAACAACTTCGACGTATGCCATATTGATAAAATTGATAATTCAGAAGGACATTATTGAAGAGTCTCAATAGTCAATGGTCTGCGGTAATAGTATTGCTTACAAAAAAAGATGGAAGTCTTAGATTTTGTGTGGACTACTGTAAGCTTAATGACGTCACCAAGAAGGACAGCTTCCCTCTCCCGAGGATAGACGATACATTAAGAACTCTATCGGGCTCCAAATAGTTTTCCACTTTGGATCTTGAGAGTGGATACTGGCAAGTGGCAATACACAAAGATGACAAAGAGAAAACTGCCTTCAGTACCGGAAGCGGGTTATATCAGTTTAACGTAATACCTTTCGGATTGTGTAATGCTCCAGCTACGTTTGGATCTTGTTTTGCGAAGCCTTACATGGAGAACTTGCCTGGTATATTTAGATGATGTCATGAGCATGGGAATTTGGTTCCAATAGCATCTCAATAACCTGAAAGAAGTTTTTGACCGCTCTCAGAATGCCAACTTAAAACTCAATCCGAATAAGTGTTTTTTATGAATGTTGAATAAATCAATAGCCTTAGAACCATGAGCTTCAACCAGATCGAAGAACTGTGTCCTTACCAAATTTACATTTTTATCATAAAATATCACTGAAAAAGCACATTGTTTTTTGACAGAAATATCGGTGGTTTCATCCATTATCAGTGAAAAGAAAAATCCTGGTTCAGTTAATTTATTATGCAAATCTGTAAGAAAATTATCGCCTAAACTATTACATATAATGGCAGTGGCTTTGCTTCTTTTTAAACTGAGTTGTTGCGCAATTTTTGAATCCGGAAAGATATTTTTTAAAAGTGGGGACAAAGAATCCATTAACAAAAAAGGTAGGTTCTTCGTAGCAAAAAGCGCACATAATTTTATTTCGGCAATTTTCACGGCAACCTCTTCTCTCTTAGCTACATAGAGATCTGTGATTTTTGTGCTTGTTGATACTTTTTGCCAATTTAATTTGTGTTTTGCACTACAGGAATGTTTTATTAAGACAGTTTTGTGCGCTACTACATCAATATTGCATACTTTACAGAAGGCGAAATTCCCTTGACTGGCTGGTTTTGAAGATTTTTTCTAACCAACCCTTGAACTTAGGAATGTTCAGCCAGGAACTTACAAACCCGCTTTTTCTTTTTCTTTTCCTAGGATTCTGTGATGTATTCTTAGTTTTTCTGTCTGAATGTGTAGCCTAAAATTAATTAACTGATTATTATTCATATAATATTTGTTTATGAAAAGTAAAATATCTTAAATAGAAAATAGTTACATACATTATTATTATCATCATCTTCGCTGCTTTCCTCTATTGTACAGGATGTCGAGGGCTCCAAATGCTCCAATTCTTCAACAACGTCAGGTTCAGTAATATCATCATCATCAGTTTGAATTGTCGAAGTAGGAGCAATACTGTAGCCAACCTCTAGATTATTACTTGCATTATCATTGGAATTTGATACATTATTTTCGATCACAGATGGATTTGGATTTGGTTTTTGTTGTTTCTTTTCCTTAAAATACAACAATTATAAAATAGAAATATAGGTACCTATTCAAGCTACAACAAATAATTGTCATATTAGCAATTATTGTTACTTGCTAACTTTTCCTATTGCTGCCAGAATTGAAAACACGAATAAGAAATTAACTACCTTTTCTTTCTCTTTATAGCCAGCAAGCCATTTGTCCATTTTTCTTATGTCTTTGTTGCAGCACTAATGCTGCAAACTGCGACACTTTAAGCTCTTACTCACAAATCACATAGGTATCACAAATTAGATTTTACATTTTAGAAATTTATTATTTTGAATTTGAAGACCACGAAGACCAAGCTCAGCTTAGAGGTTATAAACTAAGCAACGGTTGCTTAGCAACCGTTTTTTTTAAACGCTGATACGATTATTCGATCAGTATAGCAGTTTGTATTCTATCTTTTTCTAATGAACACGATAGAACAAAGACAAAAAACACCAGCTGACAGATGATCGAATCAATGCCCTCTAGTAGTGGTTCTGGCTTCTGGCACCGATCCCAACGGAACAGAAACCAGCGCCGATGTTGCCAAATGCAAAATTATCATTTTCCATGCAAAATTACCATTTTCCTTACGTTTTTAAATTTAATTGATCGATCGGATGAATTATCCGTTTTTTATCCGATTTTTGACTGGGTGAGACAATTATCCGCAACCATGGTAAATTATCCGCAAATCGGATAATTATCCGCCAATTGGCAACACTGCCTTTGTGGCATCTGTCTTTCATGGCTACATTTTTTTGGCAGATATGGCAATGTGTGCGCATTCCAGTTTTTGATTATAGTTCATTGGTCCAAAATATATGAAATCAATTGACCTTTTGTTTGGACGCCATATTGCGGTGCGCGAACATAGTTGCCAAAAGTAGAAAAAAAAAATACTAGTGTACTGTCAACATTAAAAACAAAAGTTACTGTATAAATTACATTTAAAATTTAAATTTGCCGCCTATCTCAGGTCCGTGAAGTTTGCCCCTAAAGTATTAATTTTTTTTTGGAAAAATATGTTTTTTGTTAGTGCTTCGTTAGTGCTTCTTAGTGCTTCAATTGTTTTCGTTAGTGCTTTTTCTGTTTTCTGTAAATCGATTTTTTTTGTAATTTCAAGGTCAGCCCTGACAATCTGTCAAAATGAACGAAATTTGTTACTATATTTTAGTGCTTCGTTAGTGCTTCTTAGTGCTTCAATTGTTTTCGTTAGTGCTTTTTTCGTTTTCTGTATATCGATTTTTTTGTAGTTTCAAGGTCAGCCCTGACAATCTGTCAAAATGAACGAAATGTGTTACTATGTTTTAGTGCTTCGTTAGTGCTTCAAATAGTTTCGAAAGTGCTTTTCTTATTTCTTAGATATTTTAGATTTTCACTTCAAGGTCAGCCCCCAAAAGTTTTCCGAATTACTCAATTTTGGTGTCAATTTTTAGTGCTTCGTTAGTGCTTCTCAGTGCTTCAAACAGTTGCATTCGAGAATATTTCCTTTTTGAGATATTTAACTTTAAATTTTCAAGGTCAGCCCTCAAATTATATGGGATTGAGTTAAATCTAGAGTCATTTTTTTGCGCATCGTTAGTGCTTTTTAGTGCTTTATAAAGTTTTCCTAATGCTCTTTCCGTAAGCCATGAAAGACAGATGCCACAAGGGGGAATGTTGTTTTTTTCTGTTGCTCGCTGACATATGAAGTTTTCGAAAGTTTTGTCATATTTACCTTCACAGGTTTCATCAATTGACTTTTTGTTCGGACGCCATATTGCGGTGCGCGAATATAGTTGCCAAAAGAAAAAAACAAAAATTACTAGCGGGCTGACAACATTAAAATTTAAAAACCAAAGTAACTAAATGATTGATCATAGCTATCCTTTTTGTTTGTTTACTTTCTCCCTCTGATTGATGAAAGTAAATAGGTAGATATTTTATTATTTCTATTCTGCCCAATACAAGCTAAAATTGATGGCTTTTTTTTTCAAAAACATTCATAATAGGCGGAAAATTCAAATTTTAAATGTAATTTATTCAGTAACTTTTGTTTTTAATGTTGACAGTACGCTGCTAATTTTTTTTTTCTACTTTTGGCAACTATGTTCGCGCACCGCAATATGGTGTCCAAACAAAAGGTCAATTGGAATACGTGTTGGAAGCAATTTTCGCCATTCAACATAATGAGTGTGACAAAAACAGGTATCCCCTCCGCAACAGCGGCACTAGGCTTCAGGTTCGTCAATATGTGTACGCATTCCAGTTTTTGGTTATAGTTCATTGGACTTTACTGACTTTGCCGTTCGTTTATTTAAAAAGTGTACTCGGTGCAGCCTCATTCGCGTTCGTTTATTAAAATTTCTGGCACTTTTATACAGCGTTCAACTGCTCCGTTCGCTCGCTGGTCACGTGACTACGGCTCCGCTCAGCACGCTCTGCTCTTTGAGCAAAATACCGAACGCAAGGTATGGAGGAAAGGGGAGGGGCACTCTCTATCTCTCTTTTATAGTGATTTAGTAAACCGATGTTGGCTTCAGTGGCGTCCCTGTGTTTTTTGTACATTTTGGAACAAGTTTGGGTGGTAATTTTAAAATAAAATCAGAAAACAGAAAAGGCATTAAGAAAACTATCTGAAGCAATGAAAAGCACTAATGATGCGCAAAAAAACTACTCTAGATTTAACTCAATCCCATATGATTTGAGAGCTGACCTTGAAAATTAAAAGTTAAATATCTCAAAAAGGAAGTATTCTAGAATGCAACCGTTTGAAGCACTAAGAAGCACTAACGAAGCACTAAAAACTGACAGCAAAATTGAGTAATTCGGAAAATTTTTGGGGGCTGACCTTAAAGTGAAAATCTAAAATATCTAAGAAATAAGAAAAGCACTTTCGAAACTATTTGAAGCACTAAGAAGCACTAACGAAGAACTAAAATATAGTAACAAATTTCGTTCATTTTGACAGATTGTCAGGGCTGACCTTGAAATTACAAAAAAATCGATATACAGAAAACGGAAAAAGCACTAACGAAAACAATTGAAGCACTAAGAAGCACCAACGAAGCACTAACAAACAACATATTTTCCCAAAAAAAATTAACACTTTAGGGGCCAACTTCACGGACCTGCCTATCACGAATGTCTTTGAAAAAAAAAGTCATCAATTTTAGCTTGTATTGGGCAGAATAGAAATAATAATATATCTACCTATTTACTTTCATTGTCTTTCATCAATCAGAGAGAGAAAGTAAACAAACAAAAAGGATAGCGAGGAGCAATCATTTAGTTACTTTTGTTTTTAATGTTGACAGCCCGCTAGTAATTTTTGATTTCTTCTTTTGGTAACTATGTTCGCGCACCGCAATATGGCGTCCAAACAAAAGGTCAATTAAAAACAATTAAATATGTTCTTGTGACATTTCAAATATTACAAGGTTCAGTGGGCTTATTGTCACCAACAGGTTCAGTGGGTTGTTTTTCCAAAGAGATGCGTTTTTTCTTTGCCACTTTGGATGCGTCTTCCTAGATGGAGGTTCTGCTACATCAAAATCAGAACTTTCGTCAGAACTTGTAGGCTCATCTGGCGCATATTCTGATTTAGTAGCACTAAACGGATATGACTCTGTTTCACTCATTGGTAAAAAGCATTAACGAACAGGAGCAGCGGAATTGCGTGAAATGCACTTGAAAAAACAGTATAATGAGACTAACGACAACAGGCAGGCAAGAGGTCGGAACAAATCACATTCCGGCGCACTGACCTTGCATTCCACGAAACTCAACAAACACTCACGAACACTTGGTGCAAAAGAGTTGCAGCTTCGACTACGGAGCTGCATCCGTCTTGCGCCAAACAACTGAGGATGCAAAAACATTAATATACGTGTAATTTCCTCATTTATTATTGGATCTGCATCGTTTGTGCACCAGTCGATTCGCCTTTTTTTGTGCATATACCGTAGGTATATTTCAACCCAAAATGAGAGAAAAATGGAGCTGCATCCTTCTTGCAGCAAACTCCTTCCAAGAATGCGATTCCGCTTTAAGAAAATTGAAAGAAGCCTTATGTACAAGCCCAGTGTTGTCATATCCTGATAAAAAAAGCATGTTGATTTTGGACACAGATGCAAGCAACACCAGTATTCACGTACTTTCACAAAGCCAAAATTCACAAGTGCATGTCGTAGTAGAGTACTATAGCAAGAGAGCCTTATCAAAGCCGGAACGAAGTTATTGTGTCACCATAAGAGAGTTGCTTGCCATAGTAAAAGCAGTCGACCATTTTTATAAGTATTTCTACGGACGTAAGTTTCTAATTCGAACAAATCACACGGCTCTAAAATGGCTTTTAGAAATGAAAACTTCCGAATGACAGCTTGCTAGATGGATTAAGAAATCGCAGTAAACGTTTTCCAAATTAAACATCGACCTGGAAACCTGCATAAAAATGCTGACGTTCTGGCGATGCAAAAAAGACTGTAAGCATTGTCAAAGAATCGACATGCATGAGAAAAACACTGGGTCGGCTGTGAGAAACACGGGTCTGATCGTTGATGATAAATGGACTACCAAGCAAATGAGAGCAGCAGGTCAAGAAGCAGACCAGGACATCGGACAATTTCTATATCTTAAAGAAAATGATGAATGTAGGCCAGAATGGAGAGAAGTGTCGAATGAGAGTTTGATTTACAAGGCGTTGTACGCCCAGTGAAACTCTCTAGTCGTAGAAAATGGTTTACTGGAAAGAATTTAAATAAGTGCCAAAGTAAAATCTACTAAGAGCCAACTGATTATTCCAAAGGACCGAGTAGAGGATGTATTAAAAGAAATACATGACGGAACTTCAGGGGCACATTTTGAAATAAACGAACCCAAGATTTCCGTCACGCAAGCCAGAGCCGTGACAACACTTTGAAAAAACGACTCTTTATTTTTTAAAAAACACCATCTTGTTATGATGTTAATTAATTTTGCTATGACTTTTGATCAACCCATCGAAGACTTGACT